AAAGCCGAAGAAGGATCACTACCATCCTCCATATTGTCCGGACCCAATGAACGCTGCTTGACCTAAAGAAGGGTAAGTTGAAGATAACGCGTGCATATCGGTTTACGCACCATTGCGGAGTAGTCGAGATGTGCCACGATTTGTGTCAAAATTGACTGGGTCTTGTCACGGAGTGCTTCGTAGGGAGTGCTGTATCCATGAGTTGCAAGTTTCAGCGGCTCAGTGAGTTGCCACTTGAGGTAGATGGTCAAGCTGACTGGTACTTGGTCTCGCGTGAATCTGCACACATTAGCTACGTGATTTCAGCCTTAGAAAGACGTACCCACATATCTTTAGTAGGCATCTCCAGCTGATTTTCTCCGAGGGTATAGAGCCCGCGGAGTGTGACACTGGGATTGGTGATTACGGACTGGCCCGCACCGAGTAGTTCCAGATCATCCCCGCGCTGCAAGATAGCACAATTGTTCGCTGGAATATTCAAGCTGCACACGAAGATATCAGCTGAGGTCCTCAACAGGGTTGATAGACCTACAAGGTAGCCACAACGTAGTCTCGTTCCTCTCTCGAGTTCACTTGACTCTTCATCTTCACCTCGTGAGTCCAACCCAAGATAGAACCGGTAACTCTATCTTTGACTGCGGTGGGTAGGTGGGTCTGGTCTACAATTGATAGGACATCATATGTGCCTTCGACTGCGAATGCGACGAACCCCGCATTCCTTATAACAAAGATATGATTCTGGGGGTCTGAAACGACAGCCACTTGGTTTTGGGACACTTGAACCACGGTCAGACCCTGAAACTCAACTACAGTGTCCGAAACTGAAGGAGGAGATCAGAATAGCACTGGATTACATATACCGGAAGACACACCTCCTTTAGTTCCGCACCACTTTCTTGCCCACCAGTTACGGAGAGGGAAACCAGGATATCTCCCAGGTTTCGTCAGGATCTTGGGTGACCCTCCATGATTGATCAACCCAAGCTGGCCAGGAGCAATTTCAACCCCAGTCCAATTCACCGGTACTTTCTTGGATAACACAGGAACTCTGGAGGACTAGGGAGTAGTATAAGCTCAACCGGCTCGGTGTGCATTGATTCGGATCATTCTCACCTGCAGAAGCTGCTCGTCGAGCTTCTTGAGCGCGTCCACCAGACCATTCTTTCCAATTGGAACGAAGAATGGTCTTTCTTCCATGCCGTAGTCGGTGCTCACGAACTCGCCGGTAAGTGCTTTCCGTTTTCTGGAAGCTTTCTGTGCGCTCGAGGAGCCATGGGATTTGGTGAGATCGTTGACGAGAGCAAAATCGCGGTCCCCGACGACGGTGCTGCCTTCTGCAATACTGGACATGAGGGTGATAATTGTGATTCTAGACAAGTCTCATGGTCCGAAAGCATTTATAGATCATTGGAAGCACCGCATTTTGCCGTCAAGAACATGAGACCAGTTGGAAAATGGCTGGATCATTTACCAAGAGCTGTTAAACCGAATTGACAGCTAGATAGGTGTTAGGGCGTCGAGTCAGGGATACCGAGGGTTACGGTAAAAAGTAAAAAATCAGGAGGATGCAAGAGCGCCCATCAAGGCGGAGTGGCTGTGTCCTTGTTTCTGCCACGTTTGTGCGCACGGACCAAGCCCTGTCACTCTTTCCTCAATATGCTACTGCCATGGGTGCTTCTGCTTTCCCTGGCATCAGTAGCACTCTCTTCAACGAATAATGATACCCTTTTCTGGGGCCCGTATCGTCCCAATCTGTATTTCGGTCTGCGACCTCGGATTCCTCAGTCCTTAATGACGGGACTTATGTGGTTTGGTACCCATGATTATGCATCTATATCTCGTATGCAGCGTATTTTCTCATTGAGGGTGTTATGCTGATTATTAGACTACAGGTACGCGTCACACTTGTGAACAAGGAGACGAATTGCAATCATATACCTGGACACAATTCGATCCGCGAGAAGGAGGTGTTCAGGTCATCAAGGACGCAACGAACAATGTCGAGATCACGACCGAGTTCTTAAAACAACCTGGTGGTGACCATGGAGGCAGCTGGGCTGCCAGAATAAAAGGAAAGCCACTCAATCCTGGTGAGCTAGTGTTTAGAAGGAATATATTCGCGTCTTTGCTCATGGCACCCAGCTCTACCATCTAGAATATCCACGGTGTTCTACTTTGGATTGGAAGGGTTGGGAGGAATAGACATGGAGACAGACGAGGACGAGGATGTGCGTTGACCTGCTGCATTATCCGTTTTCCCAACTAAACATCATGCACAGGGTATCGAAGGTGAAGTCAAGTTCTCGGGCTCCACCCCTGAATTGGATGACTTTGTATTGCGAGTTGCCGACGGTACATTTTGCGATCCATATCATCCTAGTTCCAACCGAACACTTCCTTGTAGGACCCAACAACGTTGCTGTGACCCATGGCCGACATTCGGAAGTGTTTGAAAAGCGTATCGGGAAAACACATTTCCTTGGAGTCACAGTGCCACCCGGGAATATCTGGAAAGCAAAAGGTGTTGTATCTATTTCGTCAGATCAATACCTGTCAAGTAAACGCGGTGCTTTAGATTTCATACTGCAAGCGATAATCCAACGTGCCCAAGGTATCGTCGAACCTTACAGAGACCCAGCTATCGGTGCTCCAGATCCATCTTTTGTACTCCAACTTCCGGATGAAATCTACACCGGAAGCAACCTACATGCAGTGCAAAAGCTGTTTGACGGAGAGTTTCAGTTTGACGTCTACTTTGAAAGTGCTTCTGCCAAGCAGAGACTGAGTTGTGAGTTCCTACTCCATTTGTTCAGTAGTTTTCACTCATTTCAACAGCTTCTGTGGTCACCCAGGGAATCGCAGCGTTGAGTGAAAAGTTCAATGAACGTTTCAAGTCAACATTCCCGAAACATGTGGACTACTCAACTGCGAACAATGAAGCATTGGAAAAGTTCTCACAAGCCATTACTTCGAACCTCATGGGTGGTGTTGGTTATTTCTACGGCAACTCTCTCGTCAACAAGAAATTCTCCTATGAGTGGGATGAAGATGAAGATGCTCAAAGTGGCGATGATGACGAAGAAGAAAATGGAGATCCCAAACTCACTGAACCTAAGGAGCTTCTGACGGCAACACCCAGTCGTAGCTTCTTCCCCCGTGGATTCTATTGGTATGTTGTTATCTGAAACAGCATATAGATATTGACCTGGTCTTCAGGGATGAAGGTTTCCATCTTTTACACATCGGTGCATGGGACAATGACTTCAGGTCGGATACTTTATATAAGGATGGTTTTGTTATTGAACAACATACAGTGTTGAAATTCTCAAGCATTGGATTGGGCTCATCGACGAAGACGGTTGGGTTGCACGCGAACAGATATTAGGCGAGGAAGCACGTTCGAAAGTGAGTTAAAATCCACCGGTTTTCATGCGATTAATCTACAGCTTTCTGTATCAAACAGGTACCCGCCGAGTTCCTCACACAGGTGCCCAACTACGCCAACCCGCCAACTCTGACAGTTGCAGTCACTGCCTTGATATCCAGGGTAAAAGCGGCATCGACTGGGCCGTCGGACCAAGACCTCGGCATGGACTTCGGAATGGAGGTGCACAAACACCACTTGCTGGTGAAAGTACGGCGCTTGACGCTACCAATCAATACCTGGATCCAGAGGTTGCTTTGTCTTTCCTGAAGTCCATATATAACCCTCTCAAGCGCCACTATGATTGGTTCCGTCGTACTCAACGCGGACAGATCAAGCAATATGGTAGAAAAGCACGCTCTAGAAGCGAAGCTTACCGCTGGAGAGGCCGCTCAGAGACACATGTCCTGACCAGCGGTATGGATGACTACCCTCGGGGTCCCCCTCATCCCGGAGAACTGCATCTAGATTTGATCTCATGGATGGCGTTTTTCTCTAGAACGATGAGGGAAATCTCATCTTTCGTCGGAGAGAATGATGACGCTATGTCTTACGCCGAGATTGAGAAAGCAATATTGGACAACATTGAAGGTAGGATGGTGTTATATGATGTGATTCAGGTTAATAATATTCTGTTTAGATCTTCATTGGAATGAGGAACAACAAATGTATTGCGATGTGAACGTGGACAACGAGGGCATGTCATCCTCCTATGATTTGCAGCAGCTGGTGACTAACGCGACCCACATCCGCAGATGAATCGTATCATGTTTGTCATAAAGGTTACCTATCACTCTTCCCATTCATGCTTTCGTTGCTTCCTCCGGATTCCCCGCATCTTGGCGCAATCCTTGACCTGGTTCGTGATCCAGAGCATCTCTGGTCGCCATACGGTTTGCGTAGCTTATCCGCTAGCCACCCTGAATACGGCCAAGGAGAGAATTATTGGAAGGGCCCTATCTGGGTACAAATGAACTATCTTGTCCTCGGTGCTTTGCACAAGAAGTACGCCAAGGAAGCAGGACCATACCAGGAGAAGGCGCAGCAGATCTATACCGAGCTCAGGAAGAATGTCGTCGACAATGTATTTAAGGAATACGAGCGGACAGGCTATGTATGGGAGCAATATGACCCCAACAACGGTGAAGGACGTAGAAGGTGAGTATACAATGTGTTTTGGTAGATATTGAGCCGACTTTTCTTCCTTATAGTCACCCCTTCACCGGCTGGACTTCTCTAGTGACATTAAGTAAGTCAACTGCCCTAACGTTCGGTGCCTCGCCAATAACTTCGTTTTCCAGTCATATCTGAGAAGTACTAGGAGCATACGGTTTATGTTTAGGCAAAAGTACACCCAATATTATTCTCACTTGCGTAACACGTTGATGTCATGGACTATCAAACGCTAGTTGGAATTCAAAGCAGAGAAGCAGGTTTGGGGTACTGTTACTTACCATAGGTATGCATAATTACACCTTGCATGGGCAGCCTGCGCATGTTGGCTGCCACCATGAGCGGGGAGAGGAAGTTGAGGGTGCTTGATTCTCTGTTCCATTTCGCAAAAAGATCGAGCGCATGGTAGCGGTGGGGTTCGAACCCACGCAGATTTCTCTACTGGGATTCATGGTTTTGCACAAACCACTACTTAAATCCAGCGCCTTAGACCACTCGGCCACGCTACCCTGACGCAGAAGCACTTTAGTGAATCCAACACCAGTATGCTGACCGAGCCAACAACGCCAATGAATCGCGATAGCCGGGTTACACCTGTGATAACAAGAATAGAGAATAAATACACCAGAACAAAGGATACAGTATTACACGCTAGATACAGTACTTGATAGGGCTCGGCAGGGTATCGAAAGTTGTTCCGTTTCAGCTAAAACTCCAAACTTTGACAGTGTGGTCATCGCTCCCAGATACCACCTTATCTTCACTCATAGCAACACAGCTTACAGCACCAGCGTGAGCAATAAGAGTCGCAATACACTTTCCGTCTTCGCGGTTCCAAACCTAAACGAATAATGTTAGTCCCACCTAGTGTGTGCGATCAACTGCGCGACATACCTTGACTGTACGGTCATGGCTAGCACTGACTAACCGCATCTTGTCGGCAGCAACACCCCACACGCCTTCGATGTGGCCAAAGAAAGTCTTGACAGCCTTCCCAGTTTCAATATCCCAAACTTTGATAGTATTATCCAAGCTTCCTGAGATAAGAACAGGTGCCTTTGACCTGGGTGTGGCCGTAGATGATAGTGACTGTTGACTGCTTGACGGCGAGGCATCGGCGGAAGATGATGATGGCATGTCAACGTCGATAATTTCGGATCCAGTATCAGAATCCTGGGCTGGGTCAGGAGTATCGTCGCACTCGTCGGCCAGAAGCAGCTTCATGCTCTGGACCTGCGCGACATGACCGACGAAGTGCCTAACACAGCTTCGAAGCGTTAGATCCCAAAGCTTGATAGAGCCATCGTCTGAAGCAGAGAATAACATCTTCCCTGGGTCGATCTGGGGCGCACCACACCCAGGCATGTCGAACACTGAAGCGGAGGATGTGGACGACGTGGAAGCGTTGTTGGAATCCCAGAGTTGTACTGCGTTCACCCAATCTCTGTGACCTCGTAACGTGAAGGCACCACCCGTCCTCAAATTCCAGACCTTGATGGTAGAATCCACGCTACCACTCGCCAGCACATTGCTGTCGAAGTTGAGGCAAACGACACCTTCCGTATGACCTGTCAACGTCCTGACACAATGCCCCCTTCTCCAGTCCCAGACCTTTAACGTCGAGTCCATACTGCCGGTGATAAGCTTGACATCGTCAAACTGTAATGCTCTGATGGGCTGCGTGTGCCCTTTCAGACAATGCAGCTCGACTCCAGTCTCCAAATTCCACACGCGAGCCGTGCAGTCGTACGACCCTGTGATAAGGATCGGAAACGATGGGTGCGACAAGTTCTCGTTGAACTGGAGACACATCACTCCGTCTGTGTGACCTCTCAAAGTCCGCATCGTACATCGGCCTCTACGCCAGTTCCGCTCTATCGTCATTCTTTCGCAATACACGTCCTTCCAAGGTCGTGTGCTCTCTGCTCTCGGAGGGATCTTCGTTGTAAGGAGAGCACAAGATGATGTCGAATCGCAATCCGGGGGTTTCGCGGACTTGGGTGAACAACGAGATTCCGGAACAAGTTCGCGACTAGAAGATGGCATTGGCTCGGACCTCTGCCGTTTCAAGGGTGGTGCCAAGCCATCAGATACGTCTTCCAGGGATCTTTTCATCGAAGAAAGATCAGGAGACGGGCAAGGTGATACCGACTGAACATGATACGTTCGCTTCTTCTCGAGTATCGGTAGGCCCCAACCACACTTCGGACACTTCTGACCGATGTGCTGTTCACAAATGCCTCGCCATAGGATATCGTCATCTGCTAAGTTCTTCCACCGCTTCGATACTTGTGATGCTCGACATAAGGATGTGGCGTCCAGGTTACCGAGAACCTTCATGGAGACTTCTCGGGGGAATACAGAGAATGGGTCGATGCGAATAAGGTGTGCGAGTTGTTCGGTGAGGAGAGAGAGTTGGGAGAAGCAGCACATGGTGAGGAGACCCTGTAGTATGAGGGCTCGACGAGGATGTGACGAGGAAGAAAATATCGACCAGATAGTGCTGACTGATTCTCGTTCACCAACTGGTAGTCTGTCTAGTGACTATGTAATGATAGAAATTAAAGATATGTCAAAGAAATGAGAAAGAAAGAATGCACGCACTTGTTGTAACTTGAGATTGGTACCTTCATCTGCCATCCGTTGATGGCGAACACACAATTTCCTCCCCGTCGGCTGGGTAAACGAGACAGAAGATGCCGCTGGCTTTGGAGTTGAATCCTCTTTCGACCGTTCGATGGTTGGTGCAGGCATCTCCTCTTCTTCCTCGGAATGATGGTGTACTGGCAGCGGTTTTGAGCTTTCAGGTGCAAGCCGGGGCGCAGGAAGAGTATCGCAGACGTATGAATTAGACTTTGCTGGGGGAGTAATGGAGGTCATGATTGGCAGGAGTAAAGGAAGCACGGAATGGTATATATGTGAACGGCCAAAATGATTCAATATTTGCAGCTGTCAAACTAACTCTCGCGTACTCGATGGCGCAATACCGCGCAAGTCATGACCACATCAGTCGCAAGTTTCCTGTTCCGATAACTTTCCAACATTCTTACTAGGCAAAAATACATATAGATTTTCCTCGAATTCAATCTTTCTCTTATCATTTCTTGTAAGCGGCCCTATACATCATGTTTACATACTCTTCACGATCAAACTCGAGTTATATATATGGTAGTAACAGAATGAGAAATCAAAACCGCATGAACACAGCACAAACACGTATGTGTATAGCGAAATCGAAGCAGACGCCAGCGAGGGTCAACACTCAATCCAGCGTTATCTTCATCTCCTCCAGTGGTATGGGTACAAAGTTATCCAGGACGATATTCCGTGAGCTCAGCTCAGCTTCGCAATGAGGAGGAACAAGTCGTCGGAGGAGATCTGGACGAACCGACAGTTCTGTAAATAAGGTTTCAGACGTGTGAGAAATGAGGGTAGCTTCCTATGGCGATGGTATCAACATACCTTCACGGGTAAAGTTAAACAACGGCGGGAAGTCCTTCCCGTTGGGCATCCTTGCCCCTTCGGCCCGCAACTCGTCGAAAAGAGGATGAATCATTGCTTCAATTGCACTCAATCGAGCACCAGGCGTGTACTCCAACAACTTGGCCACCAAGTCTATAGCCTCGGGGGCGGTCCGAGGTCTGAAAACCTAGAAATAACATGTCAGACGGGGTATATTCTCCAGCCACGGTACAAGGTCTTACTTTTGAGAAGGGGTGAGGCTTGATTTGGGGGAATTTGTGTTCCATGTAGTTGGGGTTCATAGTCTTGATTTGCTCCCTAGACGGTGTTCCCAGAACCTTGATGATCTCCACCAACTGATCAATTCCGCTCTCTCCAGGGAATAGCGGTTGTCCCAACATCAACTCTGCCATAACGCATCCTGTTGACCAGATGTCTGGGAGAACAGGAGTCAGGAATGCGTAGCGACGGGTACTTCGGATCTTACTCACCAATATTAGTGGTGTAGTTGGTGGCACCAAAGATGAGTTCTGGTGCTCTGTAGTACCTGGAACAGATGTAGCTGACGTTTGGTTCTCCAGCGACAAGGATCTTGGCAGAGCCGAAATCGCAGAGCTTGAGAACCCCTGTCGCAGGGTTCAAGAGCAGGTTCTGCGGCTTGATGTCTCGGTGGCATATGCCGACTGAGTGAATGTAGGCGAGGGATCGTAAGAGCTGGTACATGTATAGCTTAATTTGTAGCATGGGCATTGGTTGTTTCAATTTAGCGTAATGGCGACTGGCGCGGTAAACAGTTTCGGGGACATATTCCAGCATGAGGTTGAGATAAACTTCATCTTTCTGGATTTGGAAAATTGATGGTTAGCTCGAAATTGTTGACAGGGCGGTGAAAAAACGGTCATGCCTTGTCTCCGTTGGAGTAGAAAAACGCACGAAGGTCTACAACGTTCGGATGAGATACCAGTCTCATAATCTGCAATTCACGGTTCTGGAATGTAGAGGAACAAGTCAATCGACCGAAGACGGTAGCACGGGACAGCTGACGTACCTTGAACCGTTTGTCCTGCAAGACTTTCTTGATGGCTATATCCTCACCATCCTTGGGTGCATCTACAAGTTTGGCCTGAAAAACGACACCGAACGATCCATTGCCGATGACTTTGCAGTTACTGTACGAGATCTCCCGAGTGTCCCCAGATTTGCCGTCAGTAGCAATGACTTTGACAACCTTGTGAGGGTCATCGATGGCTAGCAGAGGCATGACCGATGAATACGATATGGGCGAATGGAAATGGAAAGAAATCGATAGATGCCGGGTGAAAAGAGCGGTAGCAGTTGAGGATGATGGTTCGTGGAGCCAACGTTGAGAAAATTGAAAAAGATGATCAAGTAAGCACCTTGAAATGACCAAGATGAAGAATAGAAGACAACGTACGAGAGATCTTGACACCATTTATAGGACCGTGGTTGGACATTTGGAAATAAACAGAGTCAGACGAGAGACGAGGGTATGAGAACCAATGGAATCAGGAGGCGAACGAGGTCGAGAAACTTTGAGAAAAAACTTGTAGTTGATATACAGACGGAACTTGGGACGTGACGGACGAGGACAAGGAAAGCGTTGGAGGAACTTGAGGGATATGGACTGAGACGGTGGTGAAGGGGTTGAAAAGAGCGGTGCAACTCGAGCCTGAGAGGAGTTCTCCGAGTTGGATCAAGTGACACCTTTTTTTGCCTAACACAGACAAACTCTTCCAATTCAGTTCCACAGCTAACGCCCCCAAGCCCGTTCATTATTTATTTTTCATCCTTTTCCTCATTGTAACGAAAAATGTAACGTATATCGTATCGTGCGTATTATGCTTGTTCATTCATTACCTCAGACCTGCTCGTTTCATTTCTTCTGGACCCCCTTCACCTTGGGCATTTCTCCCATCTCGTCGAGATCACATCAGATCAGGGAAAGAACCTTCTCAAAAACAACCCATGATCTCGCTGCCGACATGTGTCAAATTCACCAGAAAAAATTTCTAGTTCCCGCCGTCCT